CAGCGTTTTGTTCTTACTGGAATAGACACCTACTCTGGATATGGATTTGCCTTCCCTGCACGCAATGCTTCTGCCAAAACTACTATTCGTGGACTTGCAGAATGTCTCATCCACCGGCATGGCATCCCACATAGCATTGCTTCAGATCAAGGAACTCACTTCACAGCAAATGCAGTGCAGCAGTGGGCCCATTCCCATGGAATCCACTGGTCATATCATGTTCCTCATCACCCTGAAGCTGCTGGCTTGATAGAACGATGGAATGGGCTCCAGAAACACAATTACAGCACCAACTAGGTGGCAACAACTTGCAGGGCTGGGGCAATGTTCTCCAGGAAGCTGTATATGCTCTAAACCAGCGGCCAATATATGGTGCTTTGTCTCCAATAGCCAGAATTCATGTGTCCAGGAACCAAGGGGTGGAAGCTGGAGTGGCACCATTCACTATTATTCCCAGTGATCCACTTGCAGCAATTTTGCTTCCTGTCCCAGCAACCCTGTGTTCCTCAGGCCTGGAGGTCCTGGTCCTGAAGGAAGGAACTGTCCCACCTGGAAACACACAGCATAGATTCCACTGACCTGGCAGCTGAGAATGCCCCCTGGCCACTTTGAGCTTCTCATGCCTTTGGATCAGCAGGTCATGAAGGGTGTCACTGTAGTAAGTGGTGTCATTGATCCTGATTACCAAGGAGAGATTGGACTGGTGTTACATAATGGAGGTAAAAAAGAATATGTCTGGAATACAGGAGATCCCATAGGCTGACTCTTAGTACTACCATTCCCTGTGATTAAAGTAAATGATAAATTACAGCAATCCAATCCTGACAGGACTTATAATGACCCAGGTCCCTCAGGAATTAAGGTCTGGGTCACCTCTCCAGGTAAAAAAACACAGCCAGCTGAAGTGCTTGCTGAGGGCAAAGGTAATACAGAATGGGTAGTAGAAGGTAGTTCTACCTATAAATTATGACCACGTGATCAATTGCAAAGGCGAGGTTTGTAATTGTCAATGTATTTTCTTTTTATGTGATTATTGCATATCTTTCCTTTGTTCAGGTATGATATATCAGATACAATTGAACTCAGTGTGTTTTCATTTATATGTATGATAGATGATTGATGATAAGTATAAGTGTGATTTCATCAATGTCCGGAAATTATATAAGTATATATGGCTAAAGAATTGTATACAGGTGCCAGGTTGGCAAGGGGTGGATTGAGATAGTTGGTTTATTGTGCTACCCTGGCCGATAAACACATCTGGGATTAATTGAAGGGCGGAGAGATAAATGGCTCAGCGAGCCTCGCCTTACTTGTCTCTCATTCTTTGATCGTTGGGCCAGTGTACGGCTGCCTTGCTTGCTCTGTGCCTCAATTTGAAAGCTACACTACCCGTGGGACACCTAACATCCAGACTGTGTCGCTGTAATTTGAGGTCCCTTTACCACCTGCCTTGCCACACAATTGGAATGTACATCTCTTGAGCTGGGGACTGACTGCTGGTGACCTGGCTGACTGTTGGTGACCTGCCTTGCTGGTTGGCTGCCTGTGCTGGGAGAATCTGAATCTCTCACAGAGGACGACCTGGTGGCCCTCAAGACTTGAAGGACTGCCAGTGTCTCACAACTCTCTAGCACATTGGAATTATACTGAGCCATTTGTATAGTTTTATAATTTAATGTTTATTTCTTGTGTTATCTATCTATCATCTATCTATCTATCTATCTATCTATCTATCTATCTATCTATCTATCATCCATCTATCTAAATTATTAGTAATCTGGTTTTGTCTCTAGATAATCCTGTCTAACACACAGTGTCTGCATGTCGATGGCTTTCACTTTCTTAAAGCATGTGTCTGTGATGAATCCATACAGCTTGCAACCATGCTTAAAAATAAACAACCTAGTGTGTTAGATTTGTGTCTAAGTGAATAATAAACAAACTCTGACAAAGGGGCTGTAGATTTCTCCTAGCTGTAAAGGAATTTTTGAGAGATAACTAAAAAAATCAAATTCAATTCAACAATCTATCATTTATGGGACCTTGAACAAGTGGCTATCCTGCCTGTGCCTTGGTTTCCAAGAGAATTAAAAGATCTGCCTCTAATGCTGAAATGGACATTAGATAATATCATGGAGGGAAGAACTAAGCCAGTACCTGAGAGACACCAAGTTCTTGTTTGGATGTTTTGGTTTTTAAAACTCTTTGTGTTAGGCTGGGTAGACTAGAGTAACAAATCCACAGACACTCATATATGTATCAGAGAGAATTTTATATAAAGGGTAAGTGCACATTCAGAAAGCATCCCAATCCCATCCAGTCCAACCGAGCCCATACGTCCGACATTAGCCCATATGTCCGACACCGATCTACAAAGTCCTCCTCAAACTCCCAAAACACATCCAATGATGCCGAATGCAGGACAATCACAGGCCAGTGGGTAGAAAGTCTTTAAATCCAGTGGTGGAGTAAGCATCTCAGCACTGGCAGGGGTCTCCATGCAGCTGCTCCAGCACCCAGGACTGCATCAGGGTAGGTCCATGTGGCTTCTTCTCAGGGATGTCTCCCAGGAAGTGAGCCTTGCCAGCTGAGGCAGAGAACTGGCTAAAGCAGCCGCACATTGGTCCAACCATCAGAGAACAAGAAAGGTGAGGCTTGCCGAGCCATTTATCTCTCCATCCTTTAATTAAACTGCCCTTCAATTAGTCCCACATGTTTATCAGCCAGGGTGACACAATAAACCTTAACTATCTCACTGTTTGATTGCAAACTGGATAAAGGTTTACAAAGCAAATCTGTTAGGTTTCTCTCGTTGGAGAAATATACCTTGGTCCTTGGCTTGATTCAAGAAAGAATTCACATTGAAGCCTGGTTTTTGATCCAAGTGAGTTTTAACAAAGGTTAGAAGCAGTTTCAGGTTTTACAGTAAATGGAACACAAGCCAGAGTCGGCGACATGGTTGTGCAGGACCACAGCCCGGCCGCACTGAACTGTGTGTCGGAACCTCTGGGAGAAAGACTTCTGGCTTTTCAGGCCCCATCCCCATTGGGAGGTGTGGTCATGGTATGGGTTTCCCTGGCCTAGATGTGCCAATCCAGGTGTACTGCCCACCTAGGTGTACCACTCCTTCCTGACCCGGAGCTCAAACCTAACAAATCCACTTTCCATTCAACAGTATGTTCACATTTTGATTCATGTCGTTAATTTCAATCCCCACAATGTACCATTGTTTATCCCACTTTGGCCTTGGTTCCCGTTGCCATTTCTTTTTCTTTCCTACCCCTTGCTGCCTTCTAAGTCTGTCCTTGGGCAAATGCTGCCCGTGTGAGGTCAAATAGTTGGTGTTTCTGAGAATTGTGTACCTCCTTACTGTTCTTGCTCCTTGTATTATTTGGTTGAAACTTGAGCTAAGTTCATTTCTAGACCTGAAGGGTGACTGTAATAGTTAGGCTTTGTTTCAACTTGGCTGGACCAGGAGTTTCAGCAATTTGGCAGTTGAGGCTTCCCCCATGATAGGATCTAAAACAAGGTGATTAACTCTATTATAGATTCTACTATGAGCAGGCATGCCATTGTGAGAATGTTATAGTAGAGCTGAACTCCTGACTCAGGTAACGGCCCTGAGATTTCCTTGGGGTGTGGTCGATTTGATGAATAAGGAGAAGATGGAGAGCTTCTTTGTTTCTTCCTGGTCTGATTCCTGACTGTGGTTAATTCATCTCTGGCTCTTGGGAGTTAAGATAAGGCCCAGCATATTGCCTGCTGACCGTGGGAGCCGGAAGAGCCTGCCATATGATCTATTGACCTTGTATTCATCTGCATCTGTACCCACCAGCTATGAGTCTTCTTGTTCTGTCTTCTTGCTTCCTGGTTCGTCAGCCCCAATGGTGATGTGACTCTGACCCATGGACTTGGACAGGACTGGACTTACTTATCTACTTCTACACCTGTATTAGTCACTGCCTTGATATAAATATATTTATTTGTCTAAACATCATGGGCTTAACTTTTGTAGAGAACCCAGCTTAACACAGAGATTAAGGATTGTAGTCTCAGGAGTTCCACCAGTCTCGATTTGACCAGGAAACCTAGTAGTCTTTTTAACTTTGTTTTGTTTCAAAAATTTCTCCACTCTACTCAGGGCCTCCTATTGGGATTCCTCTCAAAACAGTAAGCAGTGGTAATGGGCACCATCTAGCTCTTCTGGTCCATTAGGCCTTTGCAATATTTGTTTCTTCAATTTTCAGCACTCATCTTTCCTCCAGACAAGGAGAGAACAATAGTTCCATCTTAGACCACTAATTGATGCATAGTTGATTTTTGAAAATTAAGTGTATGCACAACAAAACGTTTGCCATTGCAACATATTTTTTCACACATACAATTCAGCGACATGCCTTTCTATCACTCTTAAAAAGAAGTTGATACCAATGATTGAGGAAATACATAGTTCTGTGAATCCAGTAACAACTCTAAGCAAATTTACAATTTATTATTCACTTAGAATTTAATGTATATTTGAGCCATATAGCCTATATTTGTGGCATATTATTTATTACTATAGATAATATTACTACACTATTGCTACTATACTCTTTAAAAGTTTCAAGGGTTTGGTGTGCATGGGCTGTTCATCTCTGGAGTCATCTGAAGATATGTATTACTAGCAGAAGGGAAGCAACATTTTTCCTTTTGTCTTTTCCTTTCCTCTATGATGAAGAGCCTTGGTAGTGCAGAGATTAAGCACTAGGCTGCTAACTGAAAGGTGGGCAGTTCAAACACGCCAGCGGCTCTGCTGGAGAGCAGTCTGCTTCTGTTAAGATGACAGCCCAGAAAAACCTGCGGCAAAGATCCATTCTATAACTTGAGTCGAAAACGGACTCCACAGTACCTAACACTAGCAGCTAGGTACCACAGTGCAAATTTCAGTGGTTTCATGGAGTCCAGCCTCAGTTCGTTTCCCAGTGATGGGCTGTTAAAAGACCTACTGATGCTTTAGAACAAGTCATTTTAAAATAGAAAAGATATAAGAAGAGAAGAGAGAGCTTCAAGAAATACAGATACTAGCAGAACTGTATCTCCTAAATCTATGGTTTAGTGCAAGATTTTGTTGAGAAAAGACTTCTCCTTCTAACAATGTTTAAATGATGTCTACTTAAAAAGAAAGATCCTGGAGAGCTGCTTGGGCTGGCAAAACTCTGAGAAGAATGTTCTAGAATGGTGGTGTGTGGCATTTTCTCTTCAACACCACACTGCTCTTCCCTCTGCTGGGAATGGCTAGCGACCTCCCCTCAACCTGGTTTCTTTACCTTCTAGCTTAAGCTACTTCCTTCTGTGAAGCTGTCACAGCTCTGCAGGGAGACTGGAGTCGCTGTTCCTCGGCACCTGGTGTATGGAATTCCATCCGCTTTCTGAGCAACTGTCATGTGGTTCAGCCACAGCTGTGAATTCCTGAAGGCAGTGAACCAAAGTAAAAACTAATCTCATTGATTCTGACTTATCACCACCTGTAAGGCAGAGTAAAACTGCTCCATAGGCTGTGTAAGATTGCATCTTGATGGGAGCAGACAGCCTCATTTTTCTCCCTCTGCGCCACAGGTGGATTTGAACTGTGGGTAGCTACACAAAGCTTAATTCAAAAGGGCTTTTTGAAGGCAGTGAGGTGGTTAGTGAGGTGGTCAGACTAACCGGATTTGTTATTTCTTGTAGGGTACAGGGGTTTTATAGTACAGATCACAAGGTAATTTGGGAGAAAACTATAATTATGTCTAGATAAAGTGCAGCTTTTCCATGATTTTGAACTCCGAGGCGACGCTTTGTCCTGAAGGATCAAAAGTATTGTGATCCCCTTTCATGATTCTATGACAAGAAAGCTAGTAGTTCTGGGAGAAGAAATTACTCTATTTACTTGTCACATGAGCAATACGCTTTTAAATGTTTTTTAAAAAAGACAGTTTGTAGTAGTGGTGATGTGATAATTCAGGTTATCTGTCAGGTTTGCTAAGGCATGGTTTTTAGTGCTGTTTAAAAAATCTTTTTATTAGGGGCTCATACAACTCTTATCACAATCCATACATACATCAATTGTGTAAAGCACATTTGTACATTCATTGCCCTCATCATTCTCAAAACATTTCCTCTCCACTTAAGCCCCTGGCATCAGGTCCTCGTTTTTCCCCTCCCTCCCCACTCCACCCTCCCTCATGAGCCCTTGATAATTTATAAATTATTATTTTGTCATATCTTGCCCTGTCCGACGTCTCCCTTCACCCACTTTCTGTTGTCCGTCACCCAGGGAGGAGGTCACATGTAGATCCTTGTAATCGGTTCCCTCTTTCCAACCCACTCTCCCTCTACCCTCCCAGTATTGCCACTCACACCACTGGTCCTGAAGGGACCGTCCACCCTGGATTCCCTGTGTTTCCAGTTCCTATCTGTACCAGTGTACATCCTCTGGTCTAGCCAGACTTGCAAGGTAGAATTGGGATCATGATGGTTTTTAGTACTTTGACAGATATTATGCAACCACCCTCTATTTTGTAATTTTATGTGATCAGCCAACAGTTGAAAGGGGAGTTTCTTTGGGGGTGTACCCTGCATCCAATAATCCAATATAGGCGAATTTTCTGGCAAAACTTGCCCTCTCTCTATTCTCCATCTTATTTACCATTTTTTTGCCCTTCAGTTCTTAAGACATGAGCCAGCAGCCTGCTGCCTGACCAGCAGATTTTGAGATTTTCCAACTCCTGCAGCCTTGTGAGTGAGCAACCTTCTACCTGACCTGCTGATTTTGGGTTCTCCAGTCCCTGAAGCCACTTGGGTCAGAAGCTTCCAGCATGACATCAGATTGATGTATTTGGAACTGACCAGACTCTACAACTGTATGAGCCATTCCTTGAAATAAAGATTTATCTGTATATTTATATATACATCATGTTTTACTCCTCTTGAGAACTCAGACTAAGACATGGTGGACATGCAGGCAGCATTACAGATGCCGTTAAATTACAAGTGCAGTTTAATAAACTTTATAGTAAAGGGTGACAACATGGATGAACCTTGATAATATTATCCAGACTGAAATAAGTCAGACACAAAAGGATGAATTTTCATAATTCCACTTATAGAATAAACACAGACATCAAAGTTTATTGGTTTACCACAGGCTAAGAAGAGGGGGAAAATAGAATTTGAGGGCCACTATGTTTCTGTTTGGAAGGATGAAAAAATTGGGTAAAAAAATTAATGACATGAATTTCATTTATCATGTGCAAATGTCATACTACTGGGAGGCGAGAAAGCAGGACAGTGGGGTGTTTGTGCAATCTGGTGAACATAATTCGTGTCATTGACTTGGGCACGTGGATTCTTAAAATGACACGTTTCGTTATATATATACATACACACATGCGTACGTACACACACACACACACACACACACACACACACACACACACACAACCAATCACAACAACAAAACCCCACACCGAGGGAGGAAAAGTTTAAAACATATATATTAAATAGCCACAAGGTGGCAGCTTAGAACTGTGCCATTACTGATGCACCCCTGAAAGACCAACCGGCTGAGAATAATGGCCAGCGTGGAGAGCACATACAAAGCATGTTGAAGCAATTCAGACAGGGAAAGAGAAAAGATCCAGGACATGGTGCAAGGTGTGACCACCTGGCCGCTAATGGAAAGGTTCAAAGTAGCCTGGCAGCGAGAAACACCTGCCTGTCTGCACAAATATTACAGCCGAGATTACCCAGTGGGGCAGTTTTGTTACACGAGATTATGAGCGCGCGCACGTGTACACACACACACACACACCACTCACTGCCATTGAGTCGATGCTGACTCATAGTGACGCTATAGAATCGGGTAGAACTGAGACTGTAACTCTTTATGGGAGTAGAGAGCCTCGTTCTCACCTACACAAAAGCCAACCCCAATGAAAGGGGACTTTTAGCAAGGAGTGTGTGTGTCTGAGATGCAAGCAGGAATTAGCTGTTTCCGTGGATGGACCATACTTCCTGTTAACGTGTGCCTGTTATGTGTATTT